CTTGCCATCACATTCATGCACGCGTTAAACGATGAGCGAGTAACAAATTTTACGAACAAGATCTTCAGTTTTTAAACGAATGTTCTTTTGGTTTATTCTTTTGGGTAACAAAGTAAGGCTGTAGGTACGAAGCATTCGTCCCACTGGAAAGTACACGTATGCGAACCACGTAATTTCAGTGAACTGATTTAGGTAAGTTTCAGTTTCTCAAAGAAAGTTCAGAATATCTCTTCGTGAGCACGTCAGAGAAGTGCAGTAGAAAGAGTTACGCAAGACTTTGACAGAAAAGGAAACAAGGTCATGTTAATTACGAAGCCGGATTAAGACCGTGATTGGGAGGCTTAGGCGGTACTCTAGAAAAGCGAGTGTCCTAAGATGTCTGTGCAGTGTGACTAATATCTTAACTATGAAACCAAATCAAAATAACTAAAAGTTTATCTGATGACGTGATTGAACTGAAAATATTGTAATTCCCATTGCACCTTATTTATGTTGGCACTTAACAATGCAAGCAGGCACTTTACCTTGGGCTACAATCCAAAACGTCCGTCAGTTGTGATCACTCGATCCCTTGCTGAGACTGTTTTTGTTTAACTCATGGATGAAAACACAAACCTTCAAAAGATCTTGAGGCTATGTACTCAACATCATTCTTATTGTTTATCATCTCTTAGCATTTTTCTCCTACTTGAAATAACAAACACTTCTCCCATGGCGTGACGAACAAAGAGGATCGCAATTCCTCCTCCACCTTTCATTTATATATGCTAGCATTTGAGCATGAGTTGGTCAAAAATTACACGAATAGCACGAAAATAAATCTTTAAATTTTCAACTAATTTTTCTTGGATTAATTGGACTAATTTTCTTGGACTAATTTTTCTTTAGTACAGCGTTACAGCGCAATCGAACCAATTTAAAGTGGGGGAACTTAAAGGTATATTCCAACCGAAAAGCAAACGTACATGTAGTGATCCACAATACGTCTGCCGGATTATTATAAATAAAACATCATAGTGAGTTCAATTAAGTTACTCGGCCATTATAGCTGACGAGAAACCGGATAGCTATAAAAGAATTTGAACGAATGTTGTCTAGTTTTATTGCGTAACGCAAAAAATGGTGATCGTGTAATAAGTCAACAAGAGCAAAGGTTCTTAGACTTTATTGTATGAAGCAACATGGCTGACGCACACGAGGAAATAATTTGGATATATCAACAAAGTTGAAATGGTAAATTGGCCACCGTAATGATTACAAAAGCTGACGTTTCGAGCGTTAGCCCTTCGTCGGAGCCCATTCGCTCAGACGAAGGGCTAACGCTCGAAACGTCAGCTTTTGTAATCATTACGGTGGCCAATTTACCATTTCAACTTTGTTGACATATCCAAATTATTTCGTTACTCCCACCGACGCAGCCCCAAACAGTTTCTTTCGAAACTGTCAGCCTTTGCCCACGAGGAAAGACCACCTTTTCACTAAGAATCATGGGTACGTTACATTACGTCACTTTGTGAGTATGTCACGGTAGAGCCACCGGCTAACAATCGTACTTATTCAATTGAGGGATATGAAATATTCTTCCGACGGAAAAGTAGGAGGAGAGATTTACGATACTATTTACATAATTACAGTCAATTCAAGTAAATTTCGGTTTCTCCAAGAACATTGAAAAAGTTTCTCACCATTGGGGTGTAGTATCATAGGCTGACTTATCTTGTCATGAGACTATGGCGCTTTACCAGGATAGGAAACAAAATTACCTTAATTGCTAATGCAGATTACGGCCACTGAGTTTGTGTATTGTGGAACCGCTAGTATCCAAAGATTCCAGAGGGAAGTCCGGCTCGACTATGAAACGCTAGTCTACAAGTAGAAAATGGAAATCGACTCTGCCCAGATCTTTGAATCGTTCTTTGTGCTCTGCTGAAACCAGGTCAAGTGAATTGTATTACAGATTAAAGTTGCTGCTAGAGAATCACGCAATGAATCACCGCTAAGATCCTATGATTTCATGGCCTGATAGATATATTATAGACATTATAGGTAGCTCACTTTTACTTTTCCTCGAATTGAACCATAATTTAAAATCTTAGCTGATGAGGACAACGTAAAGGGTCTGAAGCCACCAACATTAAAAAAAGTAGTTTAAGAATAAATCTTTTAAAACGACACAGAACTATGTAGTGCAAACACAAACGTGGAGAAACGAGCTATTGGCTTTCCCATAAGAGCCTATCTCTCCAGAGATACTTAGGGGATAGAGTAGAGGGTATAGAGCCACAAAGCTTTAAAAAGGCTCTCTAAAATGACGAATTTATCGAAATTTCTTTCACTGCGATGGTGGCGATTCTATTACAGAGTTATATTTAGGTGACCTAACTTGCAATCGAGGGCGCAAACAAAAAGATCGAAAAAGCTGAGGCTTTCCCGAAGGGTCACTATTTCTCCAGAGTTGCCTAGTCATCATAGCGATGAAAAACCGAATAGAATAAGAGATTAATAATCAAACTTACCATGATGATGACTTCGCGGCTGAATCTTCCAAGAGTGAAAAGACAGAACTATTGAATGACAATTGGGACTTTTCCCGACATTCCGAAACTTCCGCTATCATAGCAGTGTTTGGGTATCTCGTGTTTCAGGTATCCAGATCACTTGTGTTTTGGGTATTCCCCTCTATTCGGCTGATCCTTTGAAAATGAAACGACAGATCAATTACTGTCGGGACTTTCCCCAATTTCCAAAACTTTCGTCAGTCGACCCTAACCGTGACTCCTTCGTTACAAATTAATCAACAAAAACTTTTGAAAGGGTGTTTTTTTAAATTAAGGGTTAAAAACATTTGATATGATTGTCTGTTTATATCTTTCAAAGAATAATTTTTTTAAATCTTATTCGTTATCAAAATTTTAAAAAAACTGTCCTATGACGAGCAGATCATGTGACGGAATTGTAGGGAGGACTTTCTACATATTTCACAGACGTTCAAAGAAAATCTTACTTCCTTTAACTGCTCACTGAAGCCTCACAACAAAAAGGGGTCTGTAGGAAAGCGATCCTCGCTGTAACGAACCTTACTTATGTAGTAGTGGAAATAAAGCCCTGATACTGCAGTTCGCATGTATGATTTTCATACATTCAAATTCATTGACATATCACTTCGACGGGTTTAATACGAACCAAGTAATGACCAGCTCCCAGTTGGCTTGTTAGCTCAGTTGATAGAGCACTGCACCGGCATCGCAGAGGTCATGCGCGGCTCGAATCCCGTACAGGCCTGAAGTTTTCCAGGCCTTATTTCCACTACATAAGTAGGGTTCAATACTACGAGGATCACTTTTAAACAGACCCCTACATTATTCGTCACAGACGACACGAAAAGTGGTCGCTAAACATTCTAAGCCACCCTTTGCATTATCTGTCACACTCGCTTTAAAAGTAGGTCTGGTTTACTCAGTTAACTCACGATTAGCAGAGCCAACTGTTTTGTTTTGTGTCAAGGCGTGAGGCTGCCAGTATGGGAAATAATGTTCTGCTCTCTATATTAAGACAGACACGGAGTTACTTGTTAGTACAGGAGATCGACACAACAACAAAGACTCGAAAGGAAACTAAGACAATATTTCTATTTTTGGTCCTAAACACTTTAAAAATTTAGATTTTATGATCATTGTAACAGAGATTTCGAGAACGAAACGAAAATGTAGAGTTGACGAAAAGGAGGATTGAAAATAAATTTGGTGGAAGATAACCACAGAATGTCCTGATCCATCTGATGTTCTTAGCTGGACTGTACCTGCACCTGGGGGAAGGCTGGAAACTAGCATTTTGTCCTTGGGTGCATAGTACATGCAAGAGTGACATAAATGAACTCGAAGCTAAAAAACCTAATTAGACTCTAGAAAATGAAATTTTATTCCTCTGATATTAAATTAGTCAATTTGGAAGAATGATTTCCAGTTTTTGACGAATTATCCCGTTAACGGAGGTAAATGAGCCTGATAACCCTACAGCTCAACAACCCTCAGAATGCTTAACGGAAAGAGTGCGCATGCGTGTATTTGTGTGTTTCTGTTATCACATCCCTAAAAGCACATGCAAGAATATGAACGTAAAGTGGGTATCGAGCCACTGCAAGGTTCTCTCTGAAACATGAAGTAGAACTTATTCATGTTATAAAGAAAAATAACGATGAACATGTTCTCACAAACTACGTAGAAGTCTTAGAAGTACTACAGAACTCAAAAGATAGTAAGTGGCAAGTCTTCTAAGGGGATACCCCAGACAGGAGGCAAGACTTTCTCGTTTGGGAGCTACAGCAATGGAGGTATAAAAAAGGATAAGAGTTTCGCTGGATGATTTATAAAAGAAAGGAAAAGTGATTATGTTGTTGATGACCTCTAAACCCGTGAAGTGATGAACACGTGACTTTGAATATGTGAAAATCATAAATACTTGAGCTGCTGATGAAAAAAAAACTATGAAAGCGATCTTCGCAGTAATGAACGCTATTAGTGCAGTAGTAAAAATAAGACCTAAATGATAAAATACGGTATGATCATTATCACAAACAAACTTTTGATACAAGAATAAGAAATGATCCCAGAATACTATTTCCTGGCTCTTCCTTATCACAAATTTGGCACTAAAAAACAAATATCAAGTAACATAAATAAAGACGAAACTAATCGCGATCACTTCTTCACTTCTGTCACGGGAAGCGTTTGTGGACAGCATGCAGAGTCGTAGACCGTTCATCTAGGGTTCCGAACCCCTCCAGTTGTTTCCCTAATCCCGCTTCCTTGCTGCCTTTAGCAATGGAGAAACTTGGAAAATGTGCCTGTCACCGTTTTACTCTGCAAACTGACTGCCAAAGACAAACCTTCAAGAGATTTCCCAAAATTTTTCCTAAGCTACCATTTATTTTTACCCTTTGGAATGATTAAAGAATCAGTTTCTAAACTACCTTCTATTAAGAAAGTTACATGGGCCACATCCAAAAAAAGAGCAGTGTATGTATTTTCTGAATAATCATAAAATACGTGGAAATATAGAGGCCCTTGATGGCTATAACAACATTCTAAAAAGCTAACTTGGAAACAAGTAAAAGGCAGTAGTTAATATGAGCCTGCAAAAAAACATCTTTTCTTTAATTACAATCTGTAGGTGACACGATTCATAATATTGCTGGTGTATGTTTTCCGCTTTATAAAAATCACACAATAGCCAATTGTCCTAATCCTATTTTCAGATCTATGCATTTTCCTATTTCAATCTTTCAAGAAGGAGACCAAAAGAAACGGTTTTTGTGCCAAAAATGTCACGTCAAATTCATTCCTCAATTATTTAATGTTCTATTAACTAATCCTAAGAAATGGCTTTGAGAAAAACCCTACCGGAGTTAGGTGGCTCGTTTACTACTTAACTGATTATAATTTGCAAAAGAGCCTCATGTCAACAATTCTCCGTGAAAATGGTATGATGTAATTTGTTCTGTCACGCGTTGTGACTCGCAGGCTAATCGAGGATAGTGGTCAATTTTATTTGTTCAATTGAGTTGCTAAGTTTTTGGCGGTGTAAACCCAGATTTTGTTTCGCCACTCGAAAATTTCTAAATAAATCACGGTGACACTACTGGAGACGGTCTCGTTTCCTTTCTGCGAAATTTATTGGACGAGACTAATGGACCAGGACATAATTTGTAATTATAATGTGTTACAATAAAGCATTGTCTGAGTGCCAACCAATACGTCCTTCAGTTGAATATGGAAAGAGAAAACGCAGAATATCAAAATTTTATCTCCTTGCGGATAAATATTTCGAGATCCCGAATACAAAGTAATAATATACTTTCAAAAAAATCTCTTTTTCTTGAACTAGACATTGAAAAAATATTCAGAGTCTGTTCTCTACGTATTCTATTTAATTCATCCATTCAAAAGTCTCTTAGCTCTGTTTCCTGGGAGTCATTCCTGTCATTTTAACTGTCAGGGTCTTTTGTCCTGTAACGAATGTAAAAGATAACAACTTGTAAAACAAAATACAGTCATACCAGGAGCAGTTGGTAGGAAAACACATAGCTTCCGCTTACGCGTATATCTGATTGGTCGAGAAGTACTTTCGAGATAAATTTTTACACCAAACAGAGGACGTCAATTATTACTCTTCAGAACAAAGTAAATATGAAACTAGTCTTTATATTCAAGGTCGTAGATGGTCGCCTCAAATCATCAGCAACTGGAAAGCCATAGCCACTTTCAAAAGTAATTTAACGAATACCTTTTATGAATGAATCTTACCTCTGCTTGCCAAAATCGAGCCTCACATCATCTCCGATCAGCGTAAACGAAGCCCACTCGGACACTTTGGTAAAGCCGTTATTTCTCATCCACTTCATGGCCTGATGAAGAGATTCACTGGCACTTTCTCCTTCAGCAAGACGTTCGTAGAATTGTTTCATCAGCTGCTCTGTTGCTGAGTCTGGTATGGCCCAAAGTGCAACTAACACCGAGCGAGCACCAGACCCCAAGAATGCACGGGCAATTCCTATAACTCCCTCGGCTCTCACCTCTCCACTTCCACTGTGACAACAGCTAAGTACCACCAGTTTAGCTCTGAGTTTCACTCGTGAGACATCAGCCATCGTCAACATATAGGTATCCTTCGGTGGGATAGTGTTTCGACTGCTGGAAGTAGGAATGGGAGCGAGAGCAATTTCTCCTCTTTCGGCGTCACCATGGGCGGCAAAATGTATCAGGCCTACTGAACCTATTGTTTCAAGTACCGCCTGCTTCGTTGCTTCCTCTTCTACCAGGGGCGGAACACCAACCAGTCGTCCGACCATCTCCGCTTCCTTTCTTGCTCCTGGCAATGGTAGCAGCCAATCAACCTTGGGATTGCCTACTATTAAGGCACCAGCGTTGCTGTGATAGTCCTCTGGACTATCTTGAACGGTCTTGAGTGTTGTCAAAGAAGGAATGACACGGATCCGATGCGTGTCCGAGAGGTATTCGGCTCCCTCCTTTTCACTCAGGGCAGCAAAGGGAACTTTGTACAAAGTACTGTTCGGAACAATAATGACTTCAGGCTCCGCTAACAAACCGTAAACTGGGGCAATAAAGATTTTGTAACAGAGCGATAGACATGAAATAACTTCTCCGTCCTCCACCACGAGTCGCATCCTTGCTGAGCTATTTCGCTCGGGGGAATGAGGCTGCGATTCAGCCATATTTAAAGACCGATCTTCACAATCTTTAGTGAGAAAAATACCAAGACTTCGGAAATTATCAGCCAAAAATTGACTCAAAGACAAATCTTTGTGCAACCCAGCCTGAACGAAATTCTCTTCTAAAGATATTGGTATAAAATGAATGGCTCCACTTGCTTTCAAGATCCACAAAAACACGTAACGTTCTTGATCAGAAATGTAAAGACAAGTACAGTTATTTTCCTTTTTCAAAATGTTTTCAAAGCCAAACCAAGATTGTGGATCAGCACAGATATGCGTTTCAACAGAGTACTTCTCTGCCATCAAGTCTGAAAGGCCTCTAGCTCGACTCAGCTCCTCAACGCAAAGAGCATCACGAACATTTCCGGTTCGACAAAGCAAATTACTAAGCAGCTTGTAGGGAAACATTCCTTTGTTTTCCAAAAGTGATGTCTTGAACTGATCATTGGCACCCAAGCAATATCTCAACTCCTCGTACTTTTCAATGCATAGATGAAGACAAGAAAGGGAGTCTTTGATTTTGTTTTGAAGTAAATACAAAATGGCGTAGTCTGTTAAAATCCTGAACTCTCTCTCAATATCTCCAATATCTCTGGATATGGATAATGCTCTCTCCAAGCATAATTCAGAAGCTTTATAATCACCGATAGCTCTATACAAAGATCCAAGTTCGGCAAGAGCTCCTGCTTTCCCTTCCTGATCACCAATTTCAGTCATGATAACAAGCGCTTTTTCCAGATACTCTTTAGCTTTGTCGTATTTGTCAAGTGACTCATGCACAGTAGCTAGATTACTGTAGCCAGCTGCCTCTCCTGCTCTGTAACCAATTTCAATACTGATGACAAGCGCTTCTTCGAGATACTTTTTGGCTTCATCGTGTTTCCCGAGTGACTCAAACAAAGCACCTAGGTTTCCGTTGTCAGTTGCCTCTCCTTTTCTGTCGCCAATTTCTTTTCTGATGACAAGCGCTTTTTGGTAATAATCTTCAGCCTTGTCGTATATCCCTAGCGAGTGAAACAAAGTACCTAGGTTTCCGTAGTCAGCTGCTTCTCCTTTTCTGTCGCCAATTTCCATTCTGATGACAAGCGCTTTTTCGAGATACTCTTTTGCCTCATCGTGTTTCCCGAGCGACTGAAACAGATTACCAAGGTTTCCGTAGTCGTCTGCCTCCCCTTGTCTGTCGCCAATCTCCTTTTTGGTGACAAGTGCTCTTTCGTAATACTTTTTAGCCTTATCGAATTTCCCCAGTGACTGAAACACAGTTCCTAGATTTCCGTAGTGAGCTGCCTCTCCTATTCTGTCGCCAATTTCTATACTGATGACAAGCCCTTTTTCGAGATACTCTTTTGCCTTATCGTGTTTCCCGAGCGACTGAAACAAAGTACCTAGGTTTCCGTAGTCAACTGCCTCTCCTTTCCTGTCGCCAATAAATGTTTTAATGACAAGTGCCTTTTCGAGATACTCTTTAGCCTTGTCGTATTTCCCGAGCAAGTGAAACAAATTACCTAGGCCTCCGTAGTCGTTTGCCTCTCCTCCTCTGTCGCCAATTTGAGTTCTAATGACAAGCGCTTTTTCGTAACACTCTTTAGCCTCGTTGTATCGCCCGATCGAATGAAACACAAGACCCAGGTTTCCGTAGACATCCGCCTCCCCTTTTCTATCGCCAATTTCAGTATTGATGACAAGCGCTTTTTTGTAATACTCTTCAGCTTTGTCGTATTTCATGAGTGACTCAAACACATTACCCAGGTTTCCGTAACAGTATGCCTCTCCTCTTTTGTCGCCAATTTTTTTTCTTATTGCAAGGGCCCTCTCAATATACTCTTTCGCTTTTAAATTTTCGCTAAACCTGTTAATGTTTTGACTCTCAGCTATCTCTGCCAGAGCCATGCAAATATCTCCTTCTTCTACTAAGGCACCATACTCGCTGCATAGGACAAGTAGTTTCCTGCCGTATCTTTCCGCATTTATATTGTCAGAGATACGACGATAAGCGTAGAAGAGAATTGCAGTGATGATATTGCAATGTAGTGAAATAAATTGGTCTTTTCTGTTCTGGTTGGTATTATTTAGCAAAATCAAGCATTCGCTGCACAACTCAATCGCTTTCTGAGCGCGGTCTGAGTTTATCATGAACACAGCAACAGGTAAGGCTATGATCACGGCAGTTACCATTGCTTCTGCCGTTAGATTCTCCATTGACATCCTTTTCTGTTATTTGATAAACATTAGGACACATTATTTTTAGTATACAAGTTAACCAGTGACTAGATAATCTGTGTTCATTATGAGTCCCTCCAAGCAGGATGCATATGTGAACTTGCGAAAAAGGGCTGGGTCAATTACTCTCACAAACCGTGCTGAAAGTGTTAGAATTAACAATGTCGACTTAAAATAAAAAATAAGTGGAAAAGCGGCTTCTATCAGACTGGTAAGAATGGTGAAATCAACCAATCACATTCGGTGAAACTTGTAAGATAACCTCGACCACACATTTTTGGAAAACGGACTGTGTGACTGTTATACGCTGTAAAAAGTGAACTCACGGTTTTGCAAGTGACTTTTGATCTGTCTTTTTCGTTCTTTTATCTTATCACGTGGTGTAAAAAGTAAAAAAAGAACGAGGTGCGCTTAAGTTTGAGCAATGGTCATGTGTCAAGGTTTGTGCCATCAAGTCATGAAAGGCGGTGGGTTTTTTAAGAAACAAGAAGGATCGATAAACCTAAGGTGGCCCACAACTGTCACGGCCAAAGAAAAAACCCCGCGGCAAAAGAAATAATCTCGCGGCAAAAGAAATAATCTCGCGGCAGAAGATAAAACCTCACGGCAAAAGGAAAAACCTCATGGCAAAGAAAAAGACTCATTGCGAAAGAAATAACCTTATGGCAAAAGAAATAACAATGCCCTCACGGCTTAAAAGAGAGCGTGAGCGCTGGGACGAGTTGTCGAGGTGCACCATGGAATAAGGACATTGTTATTTCTTTTGCTGAGAGGTTATCATTGCCGTGAGGTTATTTCTTTTGCCATGAGTCTTTTTGCCGTGAGGTTTTTTCTTTTGCCCTGATCACGAAGTTTTTCCTTTGGCCCTAAGGTTCTTCCTTTTGCCGTGAGTCTTTTCCTTTTACCGCGAGCTTATTTCTTTTGCTGTGACGGTTGTGGGCCACTGTATAAACCTTTTACCACAACGTTCTGGGGAACTTGCCTGATAGTTTTCAAAATGGCAACATTTAAAAAATTTGTTCTAGCAGTTTATCACTAGCTTACTTATCGGATGAATATGGTTCAAAACGAAACTATTCGTAACTGTTGAGGATGATTTCACAAAGGCCACAAAGATTGACAAAACCGGCTTTAACACCTTTCATTTTGCTTCGATTCTGATTTTTGCACAACATGACATGACTTAAAGTATCATGACAAAGATAAACAAAACAGCATTCATTTTAGTTTTTCCTATGAGAAGGTTCGCCATACGTAATTTAGTTTGTCAGCTAAGCTCATGATGTAAATTGGCCACCATAAAGCTGATTGCTTCGAGCATTAGCATCAGAGTGGTTCATAATCTTGGGAAATCAATGATGTTGTATCGCCAGTATTCAATAAGTTGCAGTTTCTCAAGGCCGGTTCATCGCTTTAAATGGTTGGATTTTCATCACAAGATCGATCACAGTTCAACTGGAGTTTCTTTCGGTAAGCTATCTGCGTGATAATTAACGCATTATCTTTGTGAACCTTTCATTTTCTGGGGTGTGTGATTTACATAATCAAAGACAAAAATACTAGCCTGAGTACCAGCCACCCCCTACCCTCCAAAAGAAAACCGGGAGGGAAACAAACACTGCTACTTCGAATTTGTGATTCTTCAAAGGAAAAAGGAAAATTTTGACCGAAAGTAATTTTTGAAATCACCAAATAATCAATTATCAGAGACGATCTAGATAACTGGACATGTCAGGAGGTTCGAATTTTCTACTAAGTGATTTATTATGTACGAGGGGAGAACCAGAATCACACATTTCACAAAATCGTAATACAACGTAAGAAATAAAAAGACTAAACATAAAGAAGTTAGCGAGTGTTAAGCTAAAGTTCAAAATCCAAATTCACATGAACTGCCAGCCCCTTCACGTTTTACCCACCGTAAAGCTCGGCTAACGTTTCGACCATTAGCCCTTTATCAGAGTGGTTCCATAATCTTGGAAAATCATTGATGTTGTTTCGCCAGAATTCAAAAAGTTTCAGTTTCTCAAAGAAAATTAAAACATCTTTCCTCGTTAGCGAGAAATTTCACAGATTGACTTATCTTCTTATTCGAGATTCAGGTGCTTTAACAAACAAAGAAACAGATTACGTCCTTTGCAAAAACTGTACCGTGAAACCGCTACTATCCAAACATTTCAGCGAAGGGCATTTCGGCTATGAAATGGTTGTGTAAGAGTAAAAAACGGAAATACGATTCGAATCCACCGAGTCCGATTAAATCTTTCGTTTAGCCTTCCTAAAACAAGGTCAAGTTAATAACTGATGCAGATCATGGCCACTGGACGTTATGAAACACCACAGATTTAGTTTTTTGATCACCAGTTTCTTAAAGTGAACGATACTCAATAATCTTAGCTAGCGAGGATAAATTATGGGGTATAATGTCATAAAGGTCTGAACACGTCGCTGTAAAACCAATGTATTTCACTCGAGAGGTGGCGATTCTTTCGCAGCGTGACATAACAAGCGCAAACACAAAGATCGAAAAAGAAGGTACCGGGCTTTCCCACGAGAGCCTTACCTTTTTAGAGTTACTAATTAACTATAGCTGTTGACTGATACTGATTGCTTATAAAAGATTTTCAATCTCACTTACCAAGATGTTGACTTTGTGGCTGATGCTTTGAAAATGAAACATCAACAATAATTAATTATAGTCGGGACTTTATCCGACCTTCTGAAACTTCCGCTGTCACAGTGTTTTGGTTATCCAGATCATTTGTTCTAGGTTATTCCCTTGCTCCTTTTAGGCTTGTCGAAAAAAATGTAGGAAAAGTTTAATTCTATAATTCTTTTTGCGCTCGTGTGCCCCTCTATTGCTTCCTGTTTAGGTAAAAATTTTCCACAGTCAATGGTTATATAATAAAATGCTTTTTCGGTGAAGCAAGACGGGAAATTTGGCTGTCCGCCATGAAGCACCGACCTCCGCCCTATTTTCCCGTCCGGCCTTCCAATTCAGTCAATAAATACATGCCATTTTTGTTATGTACGTCACACTTTAATAACTTATGATGGATTTGAACAGGCCAAATTAAAATTGAAAATGTTGTTCTTTTGTAACAGAGAACGTCAGGCTTCATTGTTAATCCCTTTGGCAATTTGGGATTTTTATTGCAAGATCGATTACAGCAGAACTTAATGTATTTTTCATTTTCTAACGGCTGTGATTTACATAATCGAAGACAAAAATGCCAACATAACTTAGTGACTGTTTTTCGGTTTGGCACGTAAAATTCTATAATTAAATGATAGATTGGGGCACCCAAAAATTCAAAAAAAACAAAAATTACTCTGTTTTACAGGAAACGTCAGGCTTCAGTGTTCGCATCCTTTTAGAAGGTTGGATCAGCTGCTGATCACAGTACAACTGAAGCTTCTGTGTTAAAACAATAAGCTATCTTTGCACGAAAATTGACCCATGGTCTTCATGAACTTTTCATTTTCTTGCAGGTGTGATTTGGATGACTGAAGACAAAGAAGAGACTAAGTGTGATAATAGATAAGAAAATCGAACGGAGTGAATCAGTATTTTGCTCTAAAATAAACCCATCACTAGTCTCCCCTTTGAAGCTGTTAATCCAGAGACTGAAATATGGTAACAAGCAGATGACATCAGCGAAATGATCTAGCTTGACTCTCAGTATTAAGCAACAATGAACATTTCCTTTAAGGAGGGAAGAGAGTTGGGGGGAATGAACCTGTACCACATTTATGTAGTAGGATCCGTGCACCCGGAAGACACACTCCTGCAGCCTGGGTTTTCCGCAAAATTCATCGCCGTTTAACTCCTTCTACAGTATCGCATTGATTGAACTCATCGACCATCGATCATCCATATGGATAGTAAACTGAGTTGTTAAATCAACCCTGTGATCTTAGAGATATTCGGAACGAATCGGTGCCAATAATCCATTGTAAGTGGAGGAACTGTACTTACAAGATTAGCGGCCGTGGGGAACTAATATTACAGATATTTCGTTCTTTGGTCAGCAACCATTAATGATACAGTGGCTTCACAACTGCGGTTATCTGACGGTTTTAATAGTCCACAGAAATTGTGTTTTTTAATAAACAATCTCGGCATATCCAACTGTATCATCTTCTTCTATAACTCTGTGCAGGTTGAATAAATATGCATATTTATACATTATTTTTAGATAGATTTTAGGGAGCTCCTGTAGTGACTCTTACATCATATTAAGAAACCAATTCTTAAAATTTGCCATGCAAAGTTGGTGACACCACGGGTGACTACGAAGAAAATATGCTGTATTTCAAAGTTTCAAAAAACGATAGAGAGAAAAATGATCCCTTGATCACTTCAAATTGCAAACCTTCGGAGTGCATATGGTAAACCAGTTTTGTACACACTGCCTCGCTTTCAAAAATTATTTTAAAAAATCGTTGAGGACTCTAAATCATAGAAAAGCCAATAAACGTAAAATGGGATAAACCTTTAACTTAAACGATTTCAGATTCGACAGGCGAGCGCAAGTGCTTAATCACAAACTACCCATGGAAGCAAACTGAATTCCCTTGAAGAGTTGAAATAACTCCTTCAAAATAACTCTAAGAAGCGAGTTCTATTAACTCTTCGTGAAGAGTTGAAATAACTCCGTTCTGGAGTTATTTTAACTCCCCTAAAATAACTCCACCTTGGGGAGTTAAATTAACTCCACTACAGGAGTTATTATAGCTCCTTAAAAATTACTGTGTTGGATTGTGAACCTATCTAACCTGGGTACTGGACTCATTATAATGAAGAAAAAAAGGCGCAAAAGGTGTGAGACAATACTTCCATTGCTTCCTGATAAAAAATCTTAGATAAGTTGACTAATATGATGGTTTTCTTCGCGTGCAACGCGCTTCCACGTTACGATGAAAAGCAAATATGGATGCAGTAGAACCCCGCTAACCCGAACTCCCTCTATCTCGAACAAGATCCGATTTCCTTTGGATTTGATCACATTTTCCAGCCATTTACTGTGATAGAGGACGAACTCGGTTACCTCGAATTCCACGTTAACTTTGAACTAAAAAATTTCCCTTAGTTCACATTTACCCTGATAACTTAAACTTTATTCACAGGTAAAAACGGCCGTTAACTTACGTTCAAGAGTCAGAACATTGCTACGTCCCGTCCTTAATACTTTAACTCAATGGGCTCCCATTAGTGACCAAGACAGAATTTCCCCTTGCAATATCAATACAATATCAAGCAGACAAGTAAAGAGAACGAAGAAAAAAAAAATCAGGGGATTATCAGTTGATTCGATACCAAATTCTCCAAACTAACCTAAGAATATAACAGAAGAATTGTTTGGCGGAAAGTAAGAAGAATTACTGATATCTTGTGAGTGAAAAGGTTAATCCCGATTGATACGAATGCGATAACGTTTAAGAAAACGAATATGATATCTCGTAATTTAAAAACGTAGAAAGCTCCAGCGACGTAGTGCAGGAGAGGTCCTCAATTTCTGCTTCTATATCGATTATCACTGAGCAAATATTTCTTTGTTTGCCCCACGTGGTGTGCTTTTAATCTTTAGACCTTGTTGTTTAGGAGCCACTCATTTGTTTCGTTCTTGGAAACCGACAGTACATCACAGAAAAAAAAAAGTGTTTTTCCACGGAAAATAAAAGCAAACCTAAGAAATAGCAAAGAAATAAATCCCTGTGTTTTACAATGAGGTACATTCGCAGTAATTTGACCGATCGATATAAAAATTATATTTAATGTAACCGTTGTAATTGAGCGGGCTAGCCTGTTAGTTTTTCATTTTGAGACCGATCGATATTTCAATTCCAAAAAATAATTTTATGCTCTAAAGAAGTTTGAAAGAACATTTAGGTGGAAATTACAACAATGGTATTATCATAATCAAAATAGTTATCATGATAGGAAATAGTCGTGGAATCTTTTCAAGACAAACACCCAGCCGTTAACTATGTCATCATTGATTAATTTACAGCTTCGAGCACTGGCAGGAGGCCAACTAATGATTTCAAGAGTTATATTTTATTGCAATGAAACAGTTATCGTCATTGGAAATTATCATGGAATTTTATCTAGGCCGACACCCAGCAGTTAGCTTTGACATCATTGAGCAATTTACGGCTGCAAGGATACCGGTAGGGGGCCACTTTAAATGCATGGAAAATACTTTAACAATGGTGAGACCTATGGTTTAAAATCACCTTGTTGTTCGGTTGTGGAGCAATAGCATTAAGACAAAGTTAAAAAAAAAAAGAAAAAACAGGAATTACTATTGTTTTAACTTTTGGTTTGATAGTTAACAAACTTAAACTGCGGTTTTTTAACAGATGAAAACTGGCAAACCTCATGTTACATTATTAATGCCACATTCTAAATGTATACATTTATATATTTACAACGAATTGCGCCAAAAACTTCAGAAGAGATGGCGAAAAAGGAGTTAATTACGCTTATTTTGAGATGAATTCCTCGCACGGACTAAACGTCACTGCTCTAACCAGTTTAATGGTTATCCAACCCCAGGATTGCATTTATCATTGTATAAATCACAAGGAATGTTACTCGATAAAGTTCCCTCGAGTTTCATTTAACGAAAGGTGTAGATGTGAGCTGCTGAGCACAGACAAGTTTCGAAGCTCGGGTGAGATAGAGTACACCGACATCTTCGATCATTATCACATTAAGGTAAGCGTTAATATGAGCTGCGGCCCCAGTGAGTTTCATTTGGTTAAGTCAGACTGAGTGCTTATTGAGTTTTGTGGTCAAATTGAGGAAAGAACGGTACATACGTCCTGTTTGAAGGAAAAAGGAAATTATAAATGGCTTTTCTTAGTCCTCTCATCGCGAAATTCCACAGAACAGATGCAAAAGAGCCTAGACCTTTCTTAGATATTTGCTATTTAGTAAATTTTTAATTTTTTGCGTTTTTTTTTTTTTTTCTTTTTGCTTGGTTTTGTTTTGCTAAAGTCTAACTTTATCCCACAGAGCCCCTGTGTGAGGAATCCTTGCCAACATGGAAATTCTTTTTGTCGCCCGATTTACAATCAAGATGATCATCAGTGTATTTGCAAACCAGGTTTACCTGAGAGAACTGTGATGAAGGTTTGTATTATATTAATTTACAAGTCAAGATCATAGTGTCATAGTGACTAGTTGATATGATAGAGTTTATTCCATGATCATGATGACTTTTTTGATTTTCAGAAACTAAACACTTCCTTTCAAAGTTATTTAGCAAAGGTTGGGGAAAATGTTATCAGAACAAGTGCATATAACGAAGTATACGAAGAAAAATTCCTTCTTTCTCGTGTAAATTCAGGATCACAATAGCAATGAAAAAAAAAACTCCACATATTAACAAAGCTTTAAAAATATAACTCAAGAGGCACTTCCCATCTTTGTTCTGTTTTGAACAGTTTTAATCGGTGGATTTGAGTAGTGAAATAAATTACCACGCTCTGTAGAGAACCAATAATGACTTTCTCAGTTTTTTGTTCAATCAAAGAGGGATTGAGTCTAGAAAAATTTGTATTTTCGGTACAAAAATCAAATCATTGCGCTAATAATCCCTGTTTACATGGAGGAGCATGCATTGATCAGGTTAACAAATATGTATGAAACTGCCAAGCTGGAACCGAAGGAGACCACTACGAAACTAGCCAGTGTTGATTTA